ACCACTATATATATATATATATATATATATATATATATATGGAGAATGCTGAGATTATCCCACTAACTCATATGAACATATGAGTCCAACGGCTCAGATTGAATGTGGACCGATCTGACGGTCATGACCTCATTTTGTATTTGAATTTTAATATGTTTTTAAAAATCTAAATAACTTAAAATTTTAGATAAATATTCTTAAAAAATAGAAGAATCTAATAAAAATATCAAAAAAAATAATTTGTGGGAAATAAATTGACCAAAATACCCCTGAAATGTTTGGGAAGCATTTTTGTCAATTTAATTTTTACAAATTATTTTTAAAATATATTTATTAAGTGCACCTAGATGAGAATGGATGCTTAAAATTTTAAATTATTTAGATTTGTATTAAAAAAATTAAAATTAAAATTAAAATACGAAATGAAGTCGTGACCGTCAGATCGGTCCAGATTCAATCTAAGCTGTTGGACTCATATGTTCATATGAGCTAGTGGGTCAATGTGTAAAATGTAAGGTATATTGAATAAATAAATTGAGATGTCTCTCTCTAGTTTTCTTAATCTTACATGGCATGAGAGCTTCAACCTCGTCTTTCTCTTCACTGAAGTACCATATCATAATATCTCACCATATTTTCTATCTATATAATCTTGTTATTTCTTTAGTTATTTATACTATCTTATCACATTTCAACGTTCTGTATTAATTTTGTTACCCAATTTTTAGTCTCTTTTTCCCTTATGCTCTCTCATCACATTTCTCTTAATTCTTCGTCCACCTCTTCCTTCTTCAATTATGTCAACACTTCCCTCTCATAGAAATTGATATTTGTCCTCTTGTTGAAAATGGTCGGTATTTGTCCTCATCTACTTGGTGATACCTTCACTGTGTTCCTTCTTTTGCCTCTTATCACTTCTATTACGGCTTTTTATCTCTTGTCATCTCCTTACTCTAAAAAATGAAAGTTCGGCGACCCTTATGCCAAACTGGTCTCTCAAAAGTTGAGCTACCCTTGTGCCAAACTAGTCTCAAAAACAGCCAAATCAAAGTTTGGCAACCCTCATGTCAAATTAGTCTCTGAAGAACCAAACCAAATTCTGGCACTCAACCTATCAAAATAGGTTTTATTTTACTAAAAACTTCGGTCTTGAAATAATCACTGTTATTTTTCATAATTGTTCCTCTTCTAGTGAGTACTTTATTCTAAAAACTAATCACTGTTATTCCTCATAATAGTTCCCCTTCCAGTGAATACTTTGTTTTCAAAAGTTCAAGTAGTTCTTTTTAATTATAGTGATGAAGGAAAATAAGAATAAAACTACATAAAAGTTGAAAGAATATATCATTTCTTAAGATTTGCAAGATAATCCATCCCAAAGATCTTTTCCCACGATCATGAATTCAGCCCCCTATCCGTCAATTGGTATGTTCACCAAGTTAATTCCCTTGTCCAACACCTTCTTGCGAACAAAATGATGATGCACCTCATTGTGCTTCGTACCCATATGAAAAATTGAATTTGAATCTTCGATGCCATGATTGAACTGTTGTTATCGTCCTAAATAAAAAACAATGTAGCCAATAGCTTCTTTAAACTCTTAGAGTAATTGTGTCAACCACATTATTTAAGTGAAAAGTTTATATAGAGCCGAGGCTCTAAACAATCAAATTGGTTCCTACCACAAAAGTTTCACTTGAAGAGGTTGTTTTGATCCCCTAATATCCTCAAATTGATCATCTCGACATCGAGATGCATAGACATGAAAAAAAAATGGATTTCAAGTTTTAAAAATAATGCATTTTGTAACACATTTTTGGACCGTCAATTTTCAAGATTTTCAAGTTTTCATAGATCTATTGATCTAAATTAGTTTTGAAGCTTTAAACTTTATAAATAAAAATAGAAATATTTTAAGGCGATAACAAAGATTTTTAGTATTGAAACCATATTTCTCGACACTATTTGAAGGTAGGCTTTAATTTTGTTTAGAGCCTAGGCTTTATACATACTGCACCCTAGAAAGTAATTGTCAATCACACACTACCTTACAAAAAACGAGTACCTAGTGTGATATAGTGTATAATATGTTGTGCATATTTTGTTGGGTGCGGTTTGTATAGAGCCGAGGCTCTAAATAATCAAGTTAGAGCCCACCTTCAAATAGTGTCAAAAAATGTAGTTTCAAT